AGGAAGGGAAAAATGAAGGGGGGGAATCGGAGGGGAGACGAACCATGAGAGACTATGGACTCTGAGAAACAAACTGGGGGTTCTAGAGGGTTGGGGGATGGGTTAGCCTGGTGATGGGTATTAAAGAGGGCACGTACTGCATGGAGCACTCGGTGTTATACGCAAGCAATGAATCATGGGACGCTACCTCAAAAACTAATGATCTAATGTATGGTGATTAACATAATAAAAATAAAGAAAAGCAAAAATGGAATGCCTCACTAACAGGTTCATACTAAAGGAAATTCTAAAAGGTATTCTTCAGGCAAGAAGAAATGATCTCAAATGGAAGATCAGAGATCCAAAAAGAAATGAAATACAACAAAGAGCTGACAATACGAGTAAACTTAAGCCAAAACTTAAAAAAGAGAATTAAAATAAATGGGAATAACAAACTGAGGAGTGGATAAATTTGCTCATGTATTCTACGGTCTTTGCACTGTCTGGAATGAGGGTATTATTAGACAGTAATAAAGATCCATGTTAAAAGTCTCTAGAGTAATGACTAAAAATAAGTGGGAAAGTATACAACTTCCAAGCTCATGGAAGGACGAACATACAGAATTTTAAAAAAAAGGCGGGGTGGGGGAGGTGCTTGGGTGGCTCAGCCAGTTACAGCTCAGGACATGATCCCAGGGTCCTGGGACTGAGCTCCGCATTAGGCTCCCTGCTCAATGGGAAGCCTGCTTCTCCCTCTGCTGTTCCTCCTGCTTGTGCTTTCTCTCGCTCTCTCTCCTGCTCTCTGTCAAATAAATAAATAAATAAATAAAATTTTAAACAAAACAACAATCCCAAGCATGGTTAGAAAGGACAAAAAAAGAAACAACCAGTAAGGACTAAATAAGATAACAAATACTCTTCACTAATTACATAAAGGGTTAAATGTAATGGGCTAAGTGGTCTAGGTAAAATACTGACTGACAAACTGGATTTAAAAATCTCAACTATGTGCTAATCAAGGAGACAGATAAAGTTAAGAACAGAAAAAGATCATGTAAATCAAAGCTATGTCACTGTATCAACATCAGATAAAGTACGTTTTAAGGCAAAAAGCATTGTGAGAAATAATTAAAACAAAAAAACCACAAAAACAGAAATAAAAAATATAAATAAGACACAATAGAATAGTAAATCAATGAGTCAAATTCATCAAAAAAATATGAGAGTGTATTTACCTAAAATTTATCAAACAAAACTAACAGAGCACAGGGAGAAATAGACAATCCACAATCATGGCAGATTTTATCTCACTACTCCCAGTAACAGAGAAGGCAGTCCAAAAAAAATCTCAGATTAAAAAAGACTTGAACAAAATGATGAGCAAATCTGACCAAATACAGTTTACCCTTGAACAACATGGGGATTAGGAATGTCAATGCCCCCATGCAGTTGGAAATCCATGTATAACTTTTGACTCTTCAAAAATTTAACTAACAGCCTACTATTGACCATAAGCCTTGGTAATAACATAAACAGCTGACTGACACATAGTTTGTATGTGTATTACATACTGTATTCTTACAATAAGCTAAATCAGATAAATAAAAATGTTACGAAGAAAATCTTAAGGAAAATATATTTACAGCATCGTATCAAAAAAAATCTGCATGTAAGTAGACTCCTGCAGTTTAAACCCATGTTGTTCAAGGGTTAACTCTACAGAGAACAAGGCACACAACTACTGTAGAATATAAATTCCTTCCAATCATATATTAAACACAATAATCAACCATGTGCTGGGTTGTAAATTAAGTCTCAACAATTTCAAAAGATAGAACCATGTATATTTTCTGATCTCAATGAAGTAACAAGAAAATAATTAGAAAATCCCTCTTTTGTAAATTAAGAACTACACTTCTATCAATCAGGTAAAATATATTAAAATGGAAGTTAAAAATATCAGAACTTATGAAATTTAGGTAAAGAAATGCTTAACAAAAAATTTAGTTTTAGTAACATGTATTAGATGTACTCTAGAGTAATGACTAAAAATAAGTGGGAAAGTATACTATCTATATCTATAAAGGCGAGGATGTGGAGAAAAAGGAATCCTCTTGTGCTGCTACTGGGAATGCAAACTGGTGCAGCCACTGTGGAAAACAGTATGGAGTATCCTCAAAAAATTAAAAATAGAACTATCTTGTGATCCAGTGATCACACTACCAGGTATTTACCCAAAAAATACAAAAACACTAATTCAAAGGATTACATGCACCCCTATGTCTATGGCAGCATTGTTTATAATAACCAAAATATAGAAGCAGCTCAAGTGCCCACAGACAGATGAAGGGATAGAGAAGATGTGGTATATATATACAATGGAATATTATTCAGCCATGAAAAAGAATGAAATCTTGTCACTTGGAGTGACATGAATGGAGCTAGAGAGTATAATGCTAAGTGAAATGTGTCAGTCAGAGAAAGACAAATATATGATTTCACTCATATGCAATTTAAGAAACAAAACAAATGAGCAAAAAGCAAAAAGAGAGACAAACTAAGAAACAGCCTCTTTAACTACAGAGAACAAACTGATGGTTACCAGAGGAGAAGAGAGGTTTGTGGCAGGGTGGGGCCGGGGGGGGGCGGGGATTGGTTAAATAGGTGATGGGAATTAAGGAGTGTACTTGTCCTGATAAGCACCATGTTATATATGGAATTGCTGAATCACTATCATACACCTGAAAGTAATATAACAATGCATGTTAACTAACTAGAATTAAAATTAAAACTAAAAAAAAAAAAAGTATTAGGGAAAAAACCCTGAAAAACCAAAAAACCAAATATCCATCTCAAGAAGTTAGGAAAAACCCCCAGCAAACTAAAACCAAAGAAAGTAGATTTTAGTAATAGAGGACAGAAAGTAATAACAAAGAAAAATTATTTATTCATATTGATTAGGTACTATTCACTTGTATCACCTTTGTATTATATTTCAAGTTAAAGTGTTTTTGTAGGCTAGCTTTAATAGCCTAACCCCATTTAAAACATCACTCTGAAAAAATGTATTTTAAATCCTAGGAGCCCCTGAAAAACCATTTATTCATAAAATGAGGATCCACATAATCAGGAACCATGGCAATGGAGAGATCTGAAACTGGTTTTTATTCCCAGAAATGTTCATATGGCTTTCATAATCAGAAGACTGACTACTCCTTTAAATACACACACCTCTAATAACCATTAGATTTATCAATGCATACTTATGAGCTATTCACCTTTTTCTCTCTCTTCATCACTGGCCATAGCTTCCCAATCATCCAATCCAGCATCTTCAGTTTCTTCTTCCTCTTCTGTAAATAAATGTTTTTGTTAAAGACATAGAAATCATCTAGAAATAGGAGCTTGCTTTTAGAAAAAAGTAGAAAATTATGCTGACACTAAAAATACTTTAATTATGCAAAAACATACAATTTCGTCATCTTTGGAACTATTTTCTCAGTATAGCTACATGTTATAATTTAGTATTACCAAATGCTGCATAATTTCTTAGCATTTTGAATACACCAAATTAAACTTA